TTTTTTTTTTTTTTTTTTTTTTTTTTGAGGTTGTAGCTCAATCTTTAAGCACAAGGATTAAAATGTCAGTCTTGTAGTTTCCAAGCCTTGCCTGCCTCTGAAGCAACAGCCAGCCTTCAGAAAGTGCTGGTACATTTTAAGTCCTATTCCTGGTAAGAGGGTTGTAAGGGGGAAAATGAAGTTGCTGAGATTTAGGACAAAGAAAGTAAATAATACTGTTAGAATCTTTTCAGATTGCCTTTCCTGCCACCTAAATCATATAGAGGTTGTAAGATTCCCTCTCCTCCTGACTCCCCACTCCCATCCTCCTGGGGATACCGCTACAACAACATGGAACAAGGTAAGAAAAGCAATTTTCCCAAGCTGCTGCTTTTGATTGGGATAGGTTTTTTTTACCCAGTAGCTTTTATAAGGCTGTTCCAGATTTGTGCTGGTAACAGATTTGATAATTCAGGGATGCTTTAGTTGCTGCTGAGCAGTGCTTACATAGAGACAAGGCCTTTTCTGCTTCTCACCCCACCCCAAGAGAGGAGGCTGAGGGACAAGGAGTTGGGAGAGGACAACCAGGAGCCCAACTGACCCAAGGGATATTCCATGTGGCATCATGCTCAGCATATACAGCTGGGGAAAGAGGGAGAAAGGGAGGGCATTCATAGTTTACAGTGGCATTTGTCCTCCCAAGTCACCATTACACGTGATGGAGCCCTGCTCTCCTGGGGATGGCCTTTTTCACTACTTCTGCTTTACCTGATCAATTGTCTTTATCTCAACCCACAAGTTTTCTCGCTTTTAGTCTTTTGATTCTCTTTCCCATCCCACTTGGGGCGAGTGAGGGGCTGGGCGAGGATTAGCTGCCAACTGGGGTTAAAACATAACACCCTACACATCCCACTTGTCCTCAGCACTTGGGCACTTATACTGTTTTAGAAGCACAAGTACATTTTTCAAATGGATTCGCTCAGAACGTCTGAAAAGGAAAAGCATCTGTATCAAATGTACCTTTGGAAACACATGAAATGTGTAAATTGTACTGCCATCCTCTCTAAAATACTATGTCTCCAAGACATTAGAAACTACACATTAAAAATATGCAAGGGCTATTTTTAAAGTAAATCACAGAATGAGCTGGAAGGAACCCACAAGGATTACTGAATCCAGCTCTTAAGTGAATGGCCCCATACAGGGATCAAATCCACTACTCTGGCATTATTAGCACCATGCTCTGACCAACTTAGCTTAAAAACTGCTGTAGGAATGTTTCAATTTTCCCCTCCACACCCCAATCCCAAAGGCCAGTCCACAACACTGAGGATCAAGTTTAAATTTTAGGGTCTGGCAACCGATTTTTGTCATTGTTTCAGTGGCAGAAGATCAGGGCAGGAACAGCTGTTTTTCTAGCAGCAAATTTGCCACAGCATCTTTGAGTACCCTCCTCCCCACCCATATGCATCACCACACAAGCTCATTTCAATGAAAATGATGTCAGTCTCTCAGCAAAAAGCCACTGAAAGCTTAGAGCAAGAACACAGAATATCACCACTGAATTGATTCCATTAAGGGAAAGTAATGATTTATCAGACTCAGAGCCTGGAAACAGAAAACAAAGTCTGTGGCAGAGCAGAGAGAAACTCATCACCAACCAAGCATGGAAATGAGAAAGCTCTCAGCCTCCCACAAATGAAGGAATGAAATCTTGTGATCATGCCAGCAAGGGGCTCTTAGAGATGTACAAAGGACCAGGAGGGAAGGAGACCAGAAGCTTCCTAGTGGCTGGCAGGAAAACACAAAACACAACCAGCTCCCCTCATGTGGGACAAGGAGCATTAACACCACCAAGGTATTGTCCCAGCCAACACAGCCTGCAACAAAAGCAAGTGCCAAAAATCATCCCAAAGCCAAAACCACATGCCCTGGCCTTAACCAGCTAAACCCCATGTGAAGTAAGGGTGCCAGCCTGTCCTCAGACAAGCATCCAGGGTGCCACAACACACGTGGAGATGGAGGCCCTGGAAGCTGTGCTAGGTTGGCAGGTGCTGGTGGCACGAGGTACCACCAAGGGCAGGGACTGAGGCAGCCTCCCTGTCTGCAGAGGTCAGACAGACCTCAGTCAGGAAGGTAACCCTGAGGTGCTCAAGTTTCTCCGGGAATGTGGGTCAGAGTTTATTGCAAGAAAGGAGACCACCGGTATGTGTTAGCAGAAGGGGTGTTGCAGACAGGATGTCCCAAAAGTCCAAATTCTTGTGCAGTTACATACTGAACACCTGCTCAAGCCCAAAAAAAGCCAGGAGGAGCGATGAGGGGAGGAAGGTGCCAGTGATGAGCTGCTCAATTATGAAAACATCTGCAAAATTACCAAAAATTAAAGGAGTCCAGTATGAGAAGAGTCAAGTTCCATGATGGAGAAAACATTCCACTGATTAGTTCCCTTCCTGACCCTTTGCTCTGCCTTTAATTTAAGAAGCAAAGATGAAGCAAAATCTCCTTGGAAATCACCCTGCATCTGACACGCTGGGACCTCTGTCCCAGCCTCAATCATTTTTCCTATCTTGCACATGGGAGCAGGTTGAATGTATCAGATTTAATCACCTCTGCACAAATACCATCCAGGGTCTCAGGTGCTGTGTCAGATTTGCTGTGTGAGTCTTGGCTGAGACAAACCCTTCCAGGTGCCAGTTGCACAGGACCTCACCTGCTCTATAGGGTCCTAGACCAGAGGTGAAATACCACTGCTCCAAATATCCTGAGAGCATTTTGCTTCTCACCTTCAGGCAGCACACACCTCAGCAACAAGCCTAATACAGCCTGGGCCAGGCATCTGGCAACTCCAAGTTGCTTACACACTTTAACTTAGGATCAGAGGCAGGAGAGATGTGACCTTCCTGGTTAGTACTCAATCCACATGCTGGCTGCTGTACTTCTGGAAAGTACAAGAGATTACAATTGTTACCCACACTTATGAATAAAATATTGCTTTTATTTTAGTGAAGTAACAAAGCTATTTACAGACACAGTAACTATACATTCCAATTGAAAAATAGATTGTGCTCAAAATTGTTAAAGCAAGTCACACACAGTCTGTTAGAAACACAAACAACCTCAAACCTCCCAATTCCTTTAGCTCCTGTCTGATCTCAGGAAATCAGTTTGTTTTGTTCTGAATGATTTTCTGCTGAGTCTCAAGACATTCCTTCAGCTTGTCTTCAGTGAGTGTCAGCCTCTGCTCCAGGATGGAAACTGTCTGCAAAACAAAGTAAAAACTGCTGTTGAGCTACTGACAGAGACACACTGCACACTGCACTCTCAATAAAATGCTAAATTCACAGGAATATTTCGAGGTATTTCTAGGCTGGAACTCGTGTCAGCATTCCAACAGGGCAGAGCCCCGCATGACTTCAGAGAGGAGCAATAGCAGACAGTGGGCACAAAGCCCTCCTGCAGACAACACCAAGGGCCCATTTCAGCACTGGTGCTTTCAGACTGGGCTCTGCATTTCCTTTCCTGGACAGGTTCATGAGGCACCAGACACGCTTCTGCTAACAAAACATAGATTTTAAACAATTTTGCTCAGTTATGGCTCTGATTTTATCTCCTTGCTTCCAACCATTTCCTCCCTTCCCTGAACACCATGGGTCTGCTGTAATTAAAATGCTCAAAACTTGCTGGACAAGCACCATGACAGGCAAGAAAACCTTCCCAGCCTAAGATAATGCAGCAGGAGTTGGAGGGGGAAAACTCCATCTATATCTATAGCAATATCTACCTCAACATAATGCCTACATTTCTTTGTGTAATCCAGTTACCCTGCAAAGGATTGCTCTCTTTCTCCTCAAGCTGAAGTCATCATGTACAGGATGCACAGGAAGAACATTTTAACCACGTGGCAATAAAAGCTTCTGCTGAAAACCTTTTATTGATCACTCCAAGATAATCAAGGGCCCCAGCTATGCACAACCACTTTCAGCTTCCAGAGACACCAGAATGGCTGATAATGGGTGGTGATGATTTAATGCTTTAATATCCATAAACTTATCAGCAACGATCAATAGCTTCACATTTTGAGCACTTTTACTGCATAAATAACATCCTCTGCTAAAAACAAAGGATGCTCAGAACCCTGGACTTTAATAAAGTAATTCAAATAAACTTGGACAACTGCTGTTTGTATAGCAGTTATACATAGAAAGCCTTTTAATAGCGCATTTCGTAAGCACATCTCTAAGTGCCTGACAAAAGCAAGCAGGTCTCATTATCCCCATTTTACAGCTGGGGAAACTAAAGCACAAAGAGAGGAAATAGCTTGGCTAAGGCCACTTGAGACTAAGAAAAGTCTGCTGTAAAATGATTTGGGGAATGAGACAATTCGCGGGGGAGAAAACAGACATAGTAAAAACAACAGCAGGCATAAGGCAAAGCCATCTTGCAAGACTGCATCAAGGAAGTCAGAAAGGGCTTGAGGTTGTCCAGTACATCATAATGCACCTTTTCCTCCTCCCTAAACCCAGTTCAAAGTTTATTTCTAATATATTTCTTATTTCTGACCTGTAACAAGGCAGAAGAGCTCTGCTGCAGCTCTAGAAAGCTTCACCTGAAAGAATAAACCCTGCATTGCCCAAATATTCCATAGGCTACAGCACCAGCTGCATTTAAGTTTTTTCCTTCTTTATTTCCATCCCTTTGAGGCACAGGAACTGAAGTACACAGAGAACCAGAAGAAACATTGTGGAGCCAGCAGGTAACATCCCAGGTGCCCCAGAGCCAGCAGGAGCCCTCCCATCTATTCAAAGGAGAGAGGACTTAATCTTTTCCACATCCAGCCGTGCCATTGCCTAGTGACTGTCTTGGAGACCAGGACAAAGCCACCAAGGGCAGAACACAGCAGGCCAAACGTCTACCAAGGGTTTACAGCAAAGATCTTTATCCTTTAAGAAACCAGACAGAGAATGAAAACCAGTAGGGATCCTGGCTTTTCCATCTAAAAAATGACCTAGTAACTCAACACTCCAATAAAAAGAGAAAGAATGAAACATTGCATCAAATTTCCTTTAGAAAGATAATCAGCTGAATTAAAGGCCCAGTCACAATGCCCTGCCAGAAGCAATGCCCAGATCACTCATGGTTCCTCTGTTCCATGATTTACTGCCACCATGATCCTGTCAATAGGAGTTAAGAACTGTTACACATGGCAATATGAGACACAAGTAAAGCAGATTTCACAAAGTGTTGAATTTGTGAGAAAGCTGGAAGGAAAATGTTTATTGGAATGGAAACTGCGTGTAAGTATAAGCAGAAACTTGCAGTGAGTATTTTTTGGAAACTAGAAGTGGAAAAGTAGTAGTCAGAAATTAAATTCAGGAAGACCAAAGTAGGAATCAATGACTATAGTCCATTTAGACTTGAATGTATGATGAATATAAATAGACAGGGCATCTGATATCCCAGAAAGGTAAGGGAAAGCACAAATACTGCCCAGCTGCTCTAAGTGCTATATTGCAACTTGCACAGAAAAGCTCCTTTATTAGCAGCTGAAAGTTTTACAATATTTCCATGCTGCTATTTATAAATCATGTCATTCTCAGGAGGCAAATGAAACTGCACCCATTCAACTCCTGCATGCTTTTGCTATGGCTTCTTAAAGATAACAAACCAGCAGTGAAGCCAAGGAGGAGAACACTAGCCAGATCCTGTGAAGATTCACCAGAGCCCAGTTTGCACTCTGTAGCAGGATCTGGGCTTCCTGGTGTGTCAGGAATATAGTACATGTCTCCATTACGCCCCAGGGAGTAAATGCTGGATAATTTATTGAAGTCCAGGCTCAAATTGGCAGAAGGATAACAGCTTAGGCTTAAACAAGAAAAAAAGACCAAGCTATTTATTTTTAAAGGAGTATTTCTGGCATTACAGTAATATACTGAGCATTACTATGGGCACCAGAACAGAATACAGGAATTTTTCAGAGAAAACTTAAATCACTTCTACCAACACTTCCAGCAACATTTGTCTTCATTTATCTTCACAGACTCAGCATTGAAAAAAACCACTCTTCTCTTTGGAAACATTAATGAGAAACTATGGAGAAATAAAAAGTTGCGTCCAATTTACTTAAAAATTCTGGGGAATATTCACTTCCATCCTCCTCCAGGACACCTGAACTGCGGCACCCAGTAGTCATTCTTGCTTACCTGATACAAGCCCCTTATGGCATTCCTCCACGTTATTTTTACAACCCAAATAACAGTGATTTGGGATGCTGTTCCAAATGCTCTCATCTTTTCTTTAGCCCCTCTTAAACATGTTTGATTAAGCAGCAGAGATAATTTAAAAGCTACTGGCCTTAGGGTTGATGCTTCTGCAGCAGCCCCGGAAGGGCTTTTCAGCAGGACTGATAAGGGGAACCAGGTGCTAATTGAACGCCAAAAGAAACCAGTTCCACCAGCATTGAAGGAAACCTGAACAGCAGAGTCCAGAGCAAGGAGCAGAGGTCACCAGCAAGGCTCTGCAGCAGCAGTGGAGTCCCTACCAGGAGAGATCCAGGCAGATGGCTGCTATGAGCTAAAGCAGGACTTAGCCTGGAGCTGGGGGCAAGGTGGGCAAGGGCACAGAAGGGTGGAAAAACTAATGCTCCCCCTGCTCAGGGACACACTCTGCAAGGCCAAAGGTGCTGCACAGGGCCTTTCCAGTATGCAGTCACAGTGTCTCTGAGTTTGCCATGGAACAGCACAGGGGTCAGAGAACTGCCTGACTGATCATCACTAATCAGGGAAACCCCCAAAAATATGGACACAGCAGTTCCTCAGATCAAGTAACAACAGCTTGGCTGAACCTACAAGGGATATGATCCTGCACAGTGACTGCACCACAGATGTGTTCTTGGCGCCGTGCAGGAAAAATAGGACACTTGCCCTTCTATTGGTGTTTCTTCATAACAGAAAATCCCTCTCTCCCACTGATCTCAAAGAAAGTGGAAGTAGTTTTCTAGCTTTACTTAAAAAGATCCTCAAAAGTTTGCTCCACTGTTTTTTCTAAGCATATGCTAAAACATTTTGCAGAGCACTAGCATATCAAACAGCTCAAAGGAAAAATATTACTTCTGCCTCTTCAGATTTTTCTTCTCTATCTGACATGTTAATTTATGAAGACAGCATTTTCTTTTCAATTTATATTACAAAAAATCACCCACAATAAGCACACAACAAACGCAGAAGTTTTTAAGTTTCTGCTCCTACACTTTCTTCACTCCACTGTGTGGGTACAAGGAAGAACTCAGGGACTGATGGTTTCTAAGAGGTCCATTGAAGACTACAGATTGCCCATAGATTTACAGAATGAGACTTGTCACGTTTGACCTGGAGATGCAGGTTGAAGATGCTCTCTGTAACAAGCATGGCCAGTGCAGGTGTGTTCTTAAAGATGCCCTGCTGTAACTTCATGTGAGTTTCCCTAAAATTAGCAATTTCAGAGCCCACTTTACTCCCAGACATGGCCAAGAAGTATAAGTGAACTGCATCATAAAAATGCTGCCTTGGCATCCAAGGGGCAGACAGGTAAATTAAGCCTGGGAGCCCTTTCTCTAAACTAATGCAATGAATGAAACAAACTACCACAGGAAGGGTTTGCACTGGGGTACCCCTACATACCTTTTACAGGAGAAAAAAAAAAAAAAACAACTTTAACTCCCACCACTAATCACAGTTTACAACTCCAAACTGCAGCTGCAAGATTGAAAGGCTCATGGGAGAACTTCTGCAGCGAGTGTTCAAGCACAAACCTGTCTGGCAACAATGGCCTCTCCTCCTCCCATACCATGTTGGGTTTTGCTCCAACATGCAGCCAGGGCCCCTCCACATCAGCAGCTGCACTTGGACCCCCAGAGCAGATCTCTGTTCTTACCAAGCACATTTAAAGAGAGCTGGGCTGCTCTCCTCACGTGCAAATTGTAATTTAACAGCTCTGAGATAGCATCCATGCCAGCTACACACCTGCATCTCTGAAGCATTCTCAGCAAGAGCTGGCAGTTCAGACTGTGAGGAGATAAGTCTCATCTCAGTAGAACAAGACATGAAGCTTGCACAGAATTAACACTTTATGTAGCAAACAAATGCCTGCAAGGACCAGCCTTACTCCAGGAGTCAAAGCCTTAACCTCAGAGTGGGTTTTGGTTTATAAAAAATGTGTTTTAAAATAAAGTGTGGGATATTTCTAACAGGAATGATAGTTCCTCATGTGCTCAGACTAAAACAA